CGGAGCATAGAATTGTAAAGGATATTTTAATGCACAATCAAAGGTTCTGGAGGTATTTTCCAAGCAGACAGAAAGTGAAAGGAAATTGGCCCATTAGGAGCTGAGGTGGTCGAAGGGGGGGTAAAGGGGCTGGCTGGTGACAGAGATGGGGTCACAGTAGCTGAGCTAAACCCCCACTTCCTGGAAGGTAAAGATGGAGAGCCAGTGAGGGGATGAACTGTGTCTGGAGGAATAGAAACTGATCCGAGATGGGATCCCATCTTCTTCTCTAGGTGACACAAATGGTAAAGTGCTTGGCTACTAAACTGAAAGGTTGAAGGTTCAAATCCACCCAGAGGCACCTCAGAAGAAAGGACTCGAAAGCCCAGGGTTATGAGAACTAGAGGCTCAAAATTCTACTCTATAACACAAAGGATTCTAGCGAGTTGGAATTGACTTAATAGTAATTGTTTGGGGGTTTCCTCCCCCCAAACTGGAATTTATTAAAAGGCACACTTGCCCCTGGATAATCAAACGCTGCTTTCCTCTGGGTCAGTGTTGAATGGGACCTTGAGTGAAATTCTTCCTGGCTGGGGAAGGGTGGGCATAGCCTGAGGAGGTGGTGAAAATTTGAGGGAGTGGGCTGGCTCTCTCTGGCCCAGGTCCCTGTAGCTCATCATCCAAGAAGCCTTGCTGGCTCCCTCAAAGCCATCAGCCGGCCTTCTGGAGCTCCACTGCGCCATGGTGGCAGAGTGCTGGGTGATTAGTTAAGTGACGAGTAAACATTTGCTAAATGGGATTCTTGGCTCCCTGGTAATGAACAGCCGCAGCAGGAGAGATGGGGGAGATGTAGCTGAGGAGTGGGATGCTGACATGGCTGTGGGTCAGCCAGAGGGGGCGAGTGGAGAGGTGATGGAGTGCGAGTGTTCCGTGTTCCTGGCGGTGTCCTCTGAAGCAAGGAGCAGGCTGAGCACAGAGCCTTATGGAGATAGAAGAGTGGGGGTGCAAACCTGGAGATGAAAAGGCTCTGGAATACACTGAGCTGGGAAGCAGCAGGTGTCTGGGAACGGGATGCTGGCCCAGGCTCATTTCCAGGGAGCGCTCCAGCTCACTGGCACGGTGGATGGATCTGGCTGAGGAGAAGAGGAGAGTAGCAATGATGAAACCCACTGTTGAGGAACACTGGCAAGGGTACCACGGGCGGGGCCACGTGGCTGGGTGGGCCTGTGTCTGGGGTGGAGGGAAAAGGACCCTGAGTGGAGGGACCAGCACATTCCCACTCCTTGTAGAACAGAATCCAAGTGCCTGAATAATATCTCCTCCTTCAGACTTTCTCCCTGCCAGCTTCATCCCTTCTCAGCCAACACCCATTGTGTGCACACCCCCAAATACAAAGCTATTTCATGCCCCTGGCCCTCTGCCTACAATGCTCTCCTCATGTATGCTCTTCTCTGGTCACATCTTCATCCTCTGAGACCCATCTTCCTCCTGGAAGCCCTCTTTGACTACAGCACTTTCCCCGGCTTAGGCTGAATTTCTCATTTTTTTGAGTGGGTTTGAACATAAAGTACATATCACACACTAGTTGCAATGACTTGTCGCCATGTCTGGTCTGCAAACTCTAACCTGAGGAGGAGAGCCACATCACCTCGTTTTTATGTCCACAGAGCCTTGGACTTTGGCTGGCACGCGGAGGTATTGATCGGCATTTGTTGAATGAAGTGTGCTGTGCTGCTAACCAAAAAGGCTCTGATGGTTCGAATCCACCCGTGGCTCCACATGAAAAAGGCGAGCCTTCTCCTCCAGAAAAGATTTACAGCTTCAGAAACCCATCAGGGGTTGTTGTCGACTCAGTGGCGTACAGCGAGCTGAGCTGAGCAGTGGGGTTATGAGGATTCTTGAGACCACCCACGGCCATTTCTCAGCCCATCCTGCAGGGAGGGACTGCCCACCTGGTCAGCTCCAAGCAGAGGGCTGGGCTGGACAGAAGAAGAGGAGAGAGAAGGAAAAGAGAGTTTCCTTCTTGAGAGTCTAGGACAAATGCTGAGCAAAGATGGCAGAGAAGTTGATTCACAACAGACCCCAAAAGGGGAAGACCTCCCTACCTGGAAGGGCAGGATCCATGTGTCCCTGCTCCAGACAACCTGGGATCAGTGCTAGGCCCAGAGCATAGAAAGGCCTTTGCTTATCTGATCTGTCCACTTGCTCTTATGTTCTGAGCAGTGGTGTCACCACGCTGTATAGCACATGACCCGCTGAGTGACAAGTGATGTCATCCGCAGGAGAGCTGCCTTTATTCCCTCTTGGAGGAGGGAGCTACTAAAAATATACCTGGTGTCCTGGGCCACACCGCTTCGCCTAATAGCAGCCGGCAGCAGAGACTGTGCTGTGCTTGACAGAAGCGGATCATTTATAAAACATTAGCATTTCTTGTACTGACATTTCACTTCCATATTACAGGACTTACTGAGCCTTTTTTTAAAAAAAAAAATTTAATAAAGTGCTTATACTCTTGATTTTCCCACTGAGGGCTTTGCTGTCTAGAGTTGGAAATGAAATCAACAACATAACAGCTTTGGCGGGTTCTAAGGGACAGCCGGGCTCCTGGCATTGGCCTGGGTAAGAGCAGGTAAGCCGATGGAGGACAACTGCAGACCAGAGATTATTTGTCCTGCCATCACCGAACTCCCTTTAGTGAGATTTCAAGCCCTGTAGCAAGGCGGATTTTTCTTCAAAGCACAGCTCTCTCCTCTCTGCTTGATAGTTCCAGCCTTTAGCCATGGCCTCCAGCTCTTTGTCCACATCTACCTCAGTGTCTTGGAAACCCCAGGCCCCAAGAGCTGGCTGCTCTCTTTTAGCCAACCCCCTAGTCGGTCCCCTTCGGAACCTCTCGCTCAGCAACTGCTGCTGAGCTTCTGGGAACTGGCCAGGAACAATCTAGAACCAGCCTTCTATTGAGAGAGGCTCAGAGATGATGCTTCCTGGGTGCAGCAAGAGTATGGAAATCATGTTCTCTCTGTGTGTGTGTGTGTGTGTGTGTGTGTGTGTGAGACAGAGAGAGAGAGAGAGAGAGAGAGAGTCACCGTGCCCCTGCCCCATACGGCTCCTCCCACCAACAAACACATCATGTTCCCAAAGCTGTGCCCAGCCAGGCCCACCCGCCAGGCCCGCCCACCACCCCGAACTCTCAGGATCTGCCACCCCTTCAGGAATGTGGGGTTAGGAAATGAAAAACAGTGTTCGTGTCCAAGAGAATATTTTTTTATTATGCTTTTCTCTCTCTTAATTGGATTCAGCATTTCTTGCTCCTCTCACAAATCCACTGTGGTAGGGAATTTGGGTTTGTGCAATGCACACAGGAGACAGTGCCCCACGGGAGGCCTGGCCACTGGCAGGGCCCACGGGGACTGGACCTCTTTGTTGGGTTTGCCTGCTCCAGCTCCTGGGCTACTCCTGAGTCTCACCCCCTGAGCTTTGCCCTTCCCCAGGCATCTCCAAAGGGCCAGAGGGGCTAGGACCTCTACCAGGCAGAAGTACTGGGATAGGTCTTGAACTGCCCTCTTAGGTCCTCTTTTATCAAGGTCACCCAATGCTTCCTTTCCTGTCACCCCACATGGGACTTTTGCTGGGATGCCCATCAAAGTGCCTCAAGGAAAAAGTTCACCAACTGAGTCATGCTGAAAACCTGGGCTCATCCCAGGGTCTCCCTGGACATTCTGGACCATCGCTGGCATAGTGCTGCGCTGACGACACTGTCCAATCAGTTGGACTAACACTGGAACGCTGCCACGCCTGCCAGCTTAAACCACCCAAAGTCCCTTCCTCCCCTTCTCAATCCAGCCTGTCTCCAAGGCCCGGCTCCCTCACATCCAAGCTGCTCCCTGCTCCTCATCCTGCTGCCAGCAGTGACTGCAGTAGGGGTGATGGGATGTGCCAGGGCGACAGACAGGCCTGTGTTGCATATAAAAACAAAGTGATGTTCTAGATATCTAATATTGGTCCCCTGATGTGCTGCCTCCCCTTCTCCCAAGCCCTCCCCACTGACACCTTGCCCCAGGCCTCTGGCAAGCCAAGGGCACAAGGGGGACTTTGTTCCCGGGTTAAGGATTCTAGACAAAAATTCTATCACTTTTTTTTCTTGCTAGAAATCACCAATACAATCCTTAGTTCAGCAGATATAGTTTTCCATATAGTTTATAAACATGTAAGACATACAGTTTGATAACGGAGTTGGGGGAAAGGGCAAGGGAACCTGTGCATTTGTATATATATATATATATATATATAGCGTGTGTGTGTGTGTGTGTGTGTGTATACGTATATAAGTGGACATAGGTATAAAACTGCACCTTCTGTGGGAACCTTGTTGTACCTGATGAAGTTCTACTTTTCAGCCTCTGGTGGTCTTTCCTTTGGTAATTGGTTCTTGGATCCCAGCAGTTGAGCCTGGGGCTGCTGGGGTTGCCTGAGACATCAGGAATTACAGGTATTACCCCCAGGGGAGGGGAGGAAGGTGGACTGCAGTTGGATTCAGGGCAGGTTGGCTGAGTGAGCCCAGGTAAGAATAAAGGTGCTCACATGCTCCCAAACTGCCTGGTGGTCAGCCTCAGGGATGAGCCTCCTCTTTCTCTTCCAAGTCTTGCCTCCTCCAGGAACGATGGGGGGGTGCCCCTTCAGATCCCCCCAGATGATCAGGATTCCTCTGAGCCCCACTCCTGAGGGTCATCTGCCTCAGATTGAAGATTAAGCTTGGGTGTTTTTTACGGCTTTGCTGGAGTGGATGCTGTCCAGGGAGGTTGGCGGGGGCTGGCTGGGGCAGCTGGGTGATGTGTGCTAACCCCCTCCTGCTTCAGGCTGTACACTTTGGGTTTATAATCCACTGGGCAGGGCCCAGGCAGTGGCCTCTCCCAGCCTTTTTTTCCTGAAACTCAGCAGCTCCTCCCTGTGTTTACAAAAAAGAAGAAAAGAAATTCTGTTCCTTGCTGGACAGATGACATTGCCAGGTGCTGGTGCCTGGGTCCTCAGCGCAGAGTGACTGCCAGCCCCAGTATCCAGGCCAGGAGCGAGGCCCCCAAGGACACAGCCGAGGAGGCCTGCTGCACCCCACTGGGCGCACGGATGGGGGTCCTGCGGGCACACTTGCCCTTCCTCTTGGGCCTTGTGGTGGGCAGCAGGTCAAAGCTGAACTTGTGCTGGTAGTCAGGGGCATAGTCCTGCAGCTCGTGGGCCTGTTTGCCAACGCTGGCCTTCGAGATCTGGTTGCGATTCCTGTGGCTGGTACAGTTCTTGCCTGGCTTCCTGGAGCTGGACCTCGAGCCAGGCAGATGGCCCTTGTCCCGGGGCAAGTGATGCTCCTTGCGGGCAGCCCTGTCCGTGGTGGTGAGCGTGTGCGACTTGATCTGATGCGGGGACACTGGCCCCGTGCAGTTCCGGAAGTCCTCAGCTCTCAGCAGCTTCAGGTCCTGGCCTTGTCGCAGCTCGGGGGACACGCAGGGGACAGCAGAGCTGGAGCCTCGGAACCTCCGCAGCCATTCCCACAGGGACCTCGCCCGGCAGCTGCAATCCCAGGGGTTCCCATTGAGGCGGAGGAACTCCAGGGCCCCCAAGGGTGCCAGGCATTCTCCCTGCAGCTCGGAGAGGCTGTTGTTGAAAAGGAAGAGGGTGGTCAGCCTGTGGAGGTCATGGAAGGCCTTGTGGTGTACCCACTGCAGCTGGTTCTCATGCAGCAGCAGGCGGTCCAGGTTGACCAGGCCCCGGAATGTGTCCTGGCCCAAGCTCCACAGCTTGTTGCCATGGAGGAACAGGTGACTGAGGTTGACCAGGTCCACAAAGATGTCATCTTGGAGGTACTCGATGTGGTTGTCCTGCAGGTAGAGGTACTGCAGGCTGTGCAGGCCGCCAAAGATGCCCACGGGCAGGGCGCTGAGCCCACATTTGTAGAGGTAGAGGGCATGAAGTTTCACCAGGCCCTGGAAGGTCTCTGGTGCCAGCATCCGCAACTGCCGGTTATCACCAAGGTCCAGCTCCTCCAGGTGCACAAAGCCCTCAAAGGTGTTGGGGTCGATGAAGGTGATGTTGTTGGAGTAGATCCACAGGGTGACCATGGCGGGGCTGAAGTGGCCCTGCTGGAGGAGGGTGATGCGGTTGTTCTGCAGGAAGATGCGCTCACTGTCCTCCGGGATGCCCTCGGGGATGGCGGCAAAGTTGTGCGCCTGGCAGCTGACCGTCATGGGCGAGGGGTAGCACACACAGTCCCTCGGACAGCCGCCACCCAGGGGCAGCTCCCCGGCCAGCAGCAGCAGCAGCAGCTCCACACAGCAGCCTGGTGGGGAGAGAGAGCACAACCTGGTCAAAGTAGAGGCAGTGGTCAGGCGACTTGTGGGGTGGAGAAGGGCAAGTGACTCTCCTGGGCCAGCTAGAACTTTGTCCTTATCTGCTGTGCTCAGTGGCATCCTAAGGGCTGAGTCCCTGAGTGCAGGAAGAGAGGTGTCAGGGCTCAGACCAGGACCCTCTAGGACTAGATTCTTCCCCTCACTCCATGGAACCTATCTCCAAAATAGAAAAACTAGTTGTTGGGGCCTTGCTTCCAAGGTAACCAAGAAAAGGAGACTACACAGGTCATGCCTAAAAGGGCTGCAGTCACATGCCCACTGCGTGCCCAAAGACAAGGCATTTAAGAAGTTTATCTACTGTATCTAAAATATAGTAGAGGCGGCCACCATTGGGGACATTTCTGATGTGAGTGTCTTTGACACAGACGAGCTTCCCAAGTTCTTGTGTGAAACTGCTCTATACTATGAGCTGTACCATGCACAGCAAGGTGGTGAGCAAGCTTCTGGGGAAGCCAGAAGGACTGGCCTCTCCCTCCACCTTCAGCTGTAGATCCCCAGGTTCTGTCCCATGACCTCCACCAAAGCCCATGGGAGGATTTGATTGCCTAAAAGCTGCAGGAAAAAAAGCTAAAAGAAAATAAAATGGAGATTATACTTAAAAAAAAAAGTACCAACAAAACTAAAACTCATCGTTGTCATGTTGATCCCAAGCCGTGGCAACTCGATGTGAGTTAGAGTAGAACTTGCCTTAGGGGGTGTTTTTGGTTGTAATTTTACTAGTGGCACAAACAGCTAAGTGCCTGTTTGTTAGCTAAATGGTTGGAGGTTCAAACTCAGTAATGCCTCGGAGGAAAGACCTGGCTGCTTCCACAAAGATCCCAGCCCAGACAGCCTTTTGAGTTCTGTATGTAACTGAACTGAGTCGTGTCAGGGGACTTAAAGGCTTGTACGCAGCCACCTAAGACACAGTGGAATTGCTGGGCCAAATGGTATTTCTATTTCCAACTTTTTGAGAAAGCTCCATACTGTCTTCTATAGTGGTTGTACCATTTTACACTCCCACCAACAATGAATAAGAGTTCCAGTTTCTCCACAACCTCACCAGCACTTGATGTTTCCTATTCTGTTGAATTTTGCTATTCTGACTGGGGTGAGGTGATATCTCATAGTTGTTTGATTTGTATCTCTCTTAGAGCTAGGGATTTTGAACATTTCTTCATGTGTTTGTTCACCATCTGAATGTCTTCTTTGGTGACATGTCTGTTCATATCCTGTGTTCATTTTGCAACTGGGTTGTTTATCTTTATCTTGTTGTGATGAAGAACTCAAAGTATTGATGGAAGAAGTTCATGCTTCACTGAAGGCATTGGCAAAAAATAAGTTCCCAGGAATTGATGGGATATCAAATGACATATTGTTTCAACAAACAGATGCAGCCTTGGATGTGCTCACTAGTCTATGCCAAGAAATGTGGAAGACAGCTACCTGGCCAACTGTCTGAAAGAGATACATATTTGTTCCCATGCCATAAAAGGTGATCCAACAGAATGTTGGAAATTATTAAACAATATTATTAATATCACAAGTAAGTAAAATCTTGCTGAAGATTATTTTTAAGTGGCTAGAGCACCAACAGGGAACAGCCAGAAATTCAAGCTGGTTTCAGAAGAAGCTGTGGTATGAGGGATATGACTGCTGATGTCAGATGGATCTTGGCTGAAAGCAGAGAATACTAGAAAGATGTTTAGCTTTGCTATTATGTGCCGTTGAGTTGCCTATGACTCATAGCGACCCTATGTACAACAGCTCTGAACCTTGCTCTATCCAGTGCCATCCTCATTGTCTCTGTCACACTTAAGCCCACTGTCCCAGTCACTGAGTCAATATATCTCATCTAGGATCTTTCTCTCTTGCACTGTCCCTCCACCCTTACAAGCATGATATCCCTCTCCAAGGACTGGTCCTTCCTTGCAAGAGGCCCAAAGTTGTCAGATGGAGCTTCAAAATCCTTGCCTCTAAGGAGCAGCCTGGCTTCACCCTCTCCAGGACAAACTTGTTTGTTCTCCTAGCAATCTCTGGCATATTCAATACTCATCTCCAGCACCACAGCCCAAGGACATTAAGGCTTGATGTTTACTTGTGTTTAACACGTTGCTGCAAATGACGGCAAATGTGTTTCTAAGCACGGCATCAATTTTAAAAGTGTGTGGCAACGGGTTAATCGGCTATGCAACAGCATTCAGCATTTGACTACATGAATCAATAACAAATTATGGATAACATTAAGAATAGGAATCCCAGAAGACTTAATTTTGCCCATGCAAAACCTACATACAAAACAACCATGAGATAATCATCTCACTGTAGCAACAATAGCACAGTTCAACAGGCCAGCAGAAAACAAATGCTAGTGAGGTAGTGGAAAAATTGGAACTCTGATGTACTGCTGGTGGGAATGTAAAATAGTAAGTAGAGCCACTATGGAGGTACTCTGGCACTTTCTCAAAAAGTTAAAAACAGAAATACCACTTGACCCAGCAATTCCACTATGGGAATATACCCTAAAGAAATCAGAGCCATGATTCAAACAGATGTATGCACACCCATGTTTATTGCTGCAATATTCACAATAGCAAAGCTATGGAAGCAACCCAAATACCCATCAATAAATGAATGGATAGAAAAACTATTGTATATTCATTCAATGGAATATTATACAGCACTGAAAAACAATGAACTAATAAAACATTACACAAGGGGGAGTCTGAAGGACATTATGTTAAGCGAAATATCCCAGTAACAAAATGAAAAATAATACTGCTATTATAAAATAGGAAAGACATGGGGAAGTTGGTGAAAGAATGAGAAGAGTGGATAGATAATGAACACTGCATTAGAACAGATGAGGGGAAGAAGTGTCCAAAGGGCATATATGAATTACGTTTGAGAAAAATCTGCAACAAGGAGTGCATTGTGGAGTGGGCTGGGGGAGGGGAAAAGAAAATACGCAACAATGAATTTAAAAAAAAAGAATTTTTAAAACCCCTATACATAGATCAAGAACCAGTTGTTCAAATAAGAGAACTATGCATGCATGGTTTAAAATGAGGAAAGGGGTGTAGTAGGGTTGTATCTTTTCTTCATACCTATTCACTCTGTATAATGAACAAATCATTCCAAAAACTGTTCCCTTTGAAGATTGTGGCATCCAGATTGGAGGAAACTCATCAACAACATACATTATGCAGATGGTGCAACCTTGCTTGCAAAAAGTGAAGAGAACTTGAAATATTTGCAGCAGATCAAAGACTATAACTTCAATACGCATTACAGCTCAACATAAAAAAAAACAAAACCAAAAAACAAACACACAACAAAACAAACCAAATCATCACCTCTGGGCCAATAGGCAAAACATTATAGGGAGAGAAAAGAATGAAGTTGTCAATGATGAAAGTGGAAATGAGAATCACAGAGAGGAAGTGGGAAGAGTGCTGTTATAAGGAGGGGATTATAATTAATATCATAAAACAAAATGTGTATGCATTGTTGAGTGCAAACCAATTTGCTCTGTAAACATTCATTCAAATCACAATAAAATTTAAAATCTTTTTTAAAAGCAATCATTTTCTTATGTTAGTTTTTATTTAATTCCGATCATCATGCAAACAAGGAAATGCAATCCACCCTTGAGGTGAAAATAAGGGGCAGCTTATTCTAAAGCTGGTGTGCATACGAATATGTGGTGTTGCTGATACTTTCAATCAATAAGATACAATGAGTTGTTCTACTCCTGCCTTTTTAAAAATTTCTTTCCATATTTCCCCCACTGTGGCTCCCCACTGGAAGCCCTGGGGTGTAGTCTGTGGAGAGTTGTGGTGTTAATTCAAAGGCGGAACCTCCCTAACAGATTCCCAGCCACCAACTGCTCTTCAGGAGGAAGATGTACAATCTTCTCCCATGTGATTTACAATCTCTGAAAACCTTCAGAGCATCAGTTATGAGTGTTTCAACAAGGAGAGCTTTGAAACTTGAGTATAAAGACTTGGTTAAAAATCCTGACCACACCCTTAGGGTCTTAGCCCCATCCCTAAGTCCCTTAGCTCTGCCTCAGAGCCGCTGAATTCCATACCCTCAAATCTTCCCAGCCTGCCCATCATGGGAGTCCCGAGCCATGAACCTTCTGTCTGGCACTTCTTCCTAGCTATGCCAGCTGTCATTAAATGCATTAACCCACAGTGGTGCAGGCTCATGCACTCACAAAGTCACTATCATACCGACTGCTGAGAAGTCTTTTTATGTAAATTACTCCCATTCAGCACACAAAGCATGCGTGGCACTGAAGCTCTCTAGAAACAAATCTCATTTACAATGTGTGTCCCATGTCTTCAAATAAGCAACATCCTCTCTGTGCCTCAGTTTCCTCATTTCTAAAATGCACGTAGAATAAGTTCGCCCTCACAGAGCTGTCCTGAGGATTAACTAGCAGACACTTGTGTGCAAACGGGTTGGTAGTGGCACCAGGGCCCTCGCCCTCTCATCAGCTCCCAGGCCATGGCTACAAACTAGGCCTTGCCTTGCGACAGTCCGACAGTCCAGAGCATTTCCTCTGCAGCTTCCCTCTAATTGGGCATTAATTAGGCATTCGTTAATGGATCCTTAAAATAATTTATTTTCGGATGTGTCCAGCCTGTGGTCGGATAATAGCCCTGTGCTCATTAACAGAGCAGCCTCATTATGGACGGTCGTCATTACCTGCCTTTTTCCAGGGTCGCAGCTGCCCCAGGAGGCCCTACAGGCGCGCCAGTGGGGGAGGAGGGCAGCTTCAGGCCTGCAGACCCCCACCCAGAGGGCCAGGCCGCCAGCTCATTCCTAACCCGTTTGGCTTCCTGCCCCTTGTCTTGCACTTGGCCAGTTGGGCCTCTTGGGAAAGCCCAGACGCCTGGGGCAGCTCACCCCGATCCTTTCTGCTGCCAGCTGCTCTCAGACTGTAAGACGAGAGTGCCATCCTGCCAGGCATGTCTGGGGCCAGGCCTGTGCCCAGGCTTGCCCTGGACTCCAGGCTGCCAGGTCACTGGGCCACCAGGCTGGGATTCCAGGCCTGCCAGTGCCCCAGCTGCCGCCCCAAGCTCCCGGCTCAGCAGGCTTTGCCACACTGCTACCCCCTCCTTGCTGGCAGCAAAGGCATCGGGCATCGTCGTAAATAAGTGACAGCTCCCAGCTGTTGGGAGTTATGGGCTCCCAGAGAGTGGCAGCTGCTTCCCGTCCCCCTGTAATCACCCAGCTTCAACCGAACGCTTGCAACACATAAAAATCATCGCACATAATTTGGTTTTCGCGTAATTGGGTTCGGTTGCGATTTCAGAGCAATTATGACCCTGGTGGCGGTAGTGGTGGTGGTGTCAGCAGCAGTGCAGCTTCAAAGACCCTTTCGAAGACAGGTCAGGCTCTGTGGCCTCGGTGGGGCTTCAGTCACCCCAGCCGCTAGGCAAGCCACTGCCCACCCCCTGAAGCACAGTACCCTCTGTCAGATGAGCAGGAAGTGATGCCTATACCAGGCCTCCCCATGCGGAAGTTCAGGCCTGTCCTCCAGCCCTCCATTGCCCACCTCATGCTGGTCAGGGGGAGGCAGGAGTGTGAGGGGCTCCAAAGCCAGCCGACATCTGGAAGCCTGCCTCCGGCCTCTAACCTTGGACTGGGAGGGGGGCCCAGTCTACACTGCCTCTGCCCTCCAAATAGCTTCACCCTCATATTCCACCCTGTGGCTCACCTCCACTTTCTTTCGGAAAGTCCATACCTGCAGACCCCTTCCCCATGGGGCCACCCTCACCCTGCCACTCACCCACTGCACTGTCCCACAGCTCAGACTAAGGGAGGGACTCTCAAAGGGTGGGACCCTCTGACTAAGGGTTCTGCTACCTGAGCTCACTGAATGCACAGTGGGGGCTGTGCCACACTTCCTCATCCCTGGGGATCCTGAAAGGAAGGTCGAAGGCATATCCTTCCCCAAAGCCCGGCAGGAGAGACACGGGTGGAGGGGGGCATGGGTGAGCTGTGGCGGGCTCAGCACTAATGCCACCTGACATTTGTACAGCTTATTGGAGTTTACAAAGTGCTTTTCTCTCCATCCTCTGGTCCTCAGAGTCACCTCATGTGATAGGGATAAAGAATTCTCCTGCCCCAGGCCGGGGTGGGGAGAGACAAACTGTCTTCACTTCCTCTTTGGCTGAAAGAATTCCCAGGGACAAGGAATCACACCTTTCAGACAGAGATCAGGGGTTCCAGGGTCGACACAGGAGAGAGAAACCAGGCTCAGACTCAGGTTTAGCTGGAAAAGCCAGATTTCCACACATGTGGGCTGAGCAATCGACATGTGAACCCCTTTTGGCAGAACAAACATAAGGTGACAGTGGCACCACCGCTCTGGGAGGTGCAGAAGGAAGTGGTGAGTCCCAACAACACTTGGCATAGGGCATGGAAACATTCCCCACGACCTCCAGGAAGATTCCAGAGAAGAGGGCGTGGCTGAGCGTGGAGTAAAATGACCACAAGGCACGTCATGGAGCAGCCACTGCCCCGATGCTCCTTCAGAAGGCAGGCTGGTGAGGTCGAGGCGAGGGAAGTCACTTCAGTCCTGTCCACATGTCAGGGACCCATGACAGAGAAGGTGCCTTCAGAGATATCCCTCCATCTTCCCACTGCCAAGCACGCTTATCTGTCCTGGAAAAACTAAGCCAGCTACCCACCCATCAGCTCTGACGCACAGCAACCCCAGGTATAGATGCCAGGTGTATTATAGAGAACTATGCTCTACAGGGATTCAATGGCTCGCGTTTCAGAAGTGTTCCTTAGAGGCAAGGGTGGTGAGGCTTTGTCTCACACTGTGAGCATGTTGTTAGAAGGGGCCAGTCCTTGGAAAGGAACATCATGCTTGGAAATACGGAGGATCGTCAAAAGAGAGGAAGACTATCAACAAGATGAACTGACAGTGACTGTAGCAACCGGCTCGAGTATATCAGGTGATGAGGGTGGCGCAGCATAGGACAGGGTTCCTATCTTTTTTTCATTATGAGTCATTTTTAACTTAATGATACCTAACAATAACAACATATCACTAGGTTTTCCAAGGCACATTGAACTTCCAACCTTTTGATTAAGATCTGCACAGATTTTAACCATTTGAACTACCCCCCCCCCCCCCCCCAGGGACCCTTCTGTTCTAGAAACTGATCCCATCACCAAGGCCAGGTGTCTCCAACAATCCCAAGCATCTCCAGCAGGCCCAGACCAAGACAGCAGGTGCCTCGCCCTGTACGCTTCTTTGCAGGGAGGCTGGCACTGCTGGCTCCTCCTGCACCCCCGACAGCAAGCAATGGGAGCCCCGACCCACTGATTGCCTGATTAATGCACTCACAATGTGGCGGGTGTCTTCGCTGTGCATTTTAAGATTGCAAATTAGCAGGGCTCCAAGTCTCCATAGTGGAGCCTCGCTCCCCCTCCCACCAGCCTCCTCCTGCGTGGGGGTGGAGGCTGCTCTGCTTGTCAGGATGAAGAAAAGAAAGTTGGGCTTCTCCCTAACCTTCTTCAGGCTCTCCTCCTTCTCCTCCTCGCAGCATGCCCACCGACAGCTCCCCTACTCCCAGACCGTCTGCTCTTCCACGCATCTGGGCTCACCTGCCTCTCTGCAGATTCATTCCCTCCTTCCTCTACTTAGCACCTGGGGGCTCAGTCCTGGGATCTGTGGTGCCAGGCAGCTGCCAAGCTATACCCTCACTGCTCAGTAGCAGAAAAGGGAGCTCACACTAGACCTCACAAGTCAGGCCACTGGCTTGGGCCCAGGGGTGGTGCCAGAGTAGAGATGGAGTACTGGAAAGAACTCAGCTCACTCTGCTCCATGCACCCTCCTCCATGAAGCCCTGGCTTGCTGTTTGGCCCTGTGAGCTGTCTGCTGGGGGCGGGTCCTCTCCTCTGGAACGATTTCATCTGTAAGGTAGAAGAAGAAGGGGCCCTGCCCCATCAGGTTCGAGCCTTAGGGCTCGGTGAGAAGACATGAGCCCAATGTTTATCAGTGTCTGGTAAAAATGATGACCAGAAAAAAGGAGTTGCTGTTCTTCCATGTCTTTTTCCTGCAAACTCCCAAAGCCCCAACTGTTTGGAAGGGACCTGTGGACCCCACCACAGAAAAACAAATGGCCTGAGCTTGGATAAGCAACCTCACCTGGTCCACCCAGCAACTCCAATAGTATGTGCAAAGGCACTGTGGTGAGTACACAGGTGCTGGCCCCATCTTATCCCAGTCCCTTTCCCTCTATTTCTAAATGAGCCAGTTTTAAAGGAGGTGCTTCTGGCTCAAACTGGCAAGGCCTCTGCTCTGGACCCAGAAGGCCAGGGTGCCAGAGGCCTTATAGCTTTGCCACCCAGGAAGGGACGGTCCCCAAACATGGAGAGCTCGGCACCCCGTACGCACCAGGTCCTTTACCAGTCACAATAACCAAGAGCAGATACCAAATGAGCAAGATAAGCACAGGCCACTTGTGCGTACTTACTGAATTGTAATGAACAATTTTACATGAATTCTAGTGAAAACTCACTACAGATTAGTCAATAAACACAAGTGAGCCCATGCTTTCCTTTCTCACTTGATACTCCATGCTTGTCACAAATTGTAAACCTAAAAAGAGGCTTTGGTTCTGCAGGAAGGTACTGTGGGGTTGGGAGAAAGACAGATGTCAGCCAGGCCTAGAGGCAGAATCTCTTTAATGTAATGGAAAATGTGTTCACTACAGATTAGTAAGTAAACTCAGATAAACCCATGCTTACTTTGCCTGTTAGGTAAAATGGCACAGTCTTGTAGGAGTGGCACCATTTCACAGAGGAAACTGAGGCACACGAAGGTAAAGCAGCTGTCAGGGGGCTGTGAGCAAGGCAGTGGAAGCAGGTCTCACTCAGCTGACCCCAGCCCCAGGCTCTGTCCTTGGTCCACCAGTTTGACCAGCCCCAAAGTCTCAGGCCACTGGTCCCCTTGAGCTTGGCACTGCCAGCATGGCAGGGACTGCCTCCCCCACAGGTACCTCATGGGCTGGCACCCCTGGGGCTCCTTGGGCAGGCCCATGGGGTGATGAATCAGCCACGTGGTCACTCCTGACTTTGCTGCCAGCCAGCTCTATCCCACAGGACTGAGCTCTCCTGCCCCTCAGGTTTCCACATGCTTCTCTCTGAACTAATCGATGTTAACCAAATGGCTCTGCCGGGGAAGTGCTCTCTGCAGACGGAGGTCAGTAAGGCCTCAGGCCAGGCCAGGCACTCACAAGGCTGCTGGCGCCCTGAGCCACTTGGCGCTGACCTTTAGAGCTGTACCCAAGTGGTGGGCACTCCTGGTGAGTGCCTCCCCTGACCCCCAGGCTTGCTCAGCTCTAGGGACAAAGAAGACAGCCTGGGCTTTGTTCTTCATCCTCCACTGCTTCAGATAGTGGACAAGGTGACCACCGGGCTTCCTGTCCAGGAGGCATAACAGTTTTGGAACCAGAGAGATGTGGGTTTGAATCTTGACCTCCCAATTTAATAGATGTGTCATCTGGCTCATGTGAGCCTCATTTTCTTACATGTAAAATGGGGATAATATCTAAAATGCCTGTCTGGCCTGATATACAGATCTTACTGTGCCCTTGCCTCCTCCACAACTCCATATGTTTGCCAAGTATTGTTACTGTTTACCATCAAGTCAGAACCAGCCCAGAGCTGACCCTCTGGCTTTCAGAGGCAGTTAATCGTACAGGAGGAGATTGCCCTTCCTCCCATGGAGCAGCTGGTAGATTTGAACCACGTGCCTTTGGAATTGCAGCACAGCTTCTCGCCACTGGGCCACCAGTGCTCCCTTGCCAAGTGTAGTTTGCCTCAAACTTCTCCCCACACAAGCCTCCTCCCCTCACGTTGTCTCTGCTTCAGGTAAGACAGCTTCTTCATGTCAGCAGTTCAAGGCTAGAAATAGAGAAACACCCTCTCTCACAAATCTCACACCCAATCCACCAGAAATCCCATCAGCTCAACTTTCATCCAGAACCCGTCCATTTCTTACCACCCTGGTCTAGCTACTGCCATCTCCCACCTTGGTTATCATAATACAGGCTCCAGAGTGGTCTACCTGCTCCCACCATTGCCACTACACTTAATTCTAACTCAGAAGTCAGAGATCTGG